GAGCGCGACGCGGCCAGGCACAGGCTGGTGGTGCTGGTCAAGGACAATGGCGAGCCTCCGCTGTCTGCCAGCGTCACGCTGCACGTGCTGCTGGTGGATGGCTTCTCCCAGCCCTACCTGCCGCTCCCAGAAGTGGCGCCCGAGCGCGCGCAGGGGGACTCGCTCACTGTCTACCTGGTCATCGCCTTGGCCTCTGTGTCATCTCTCTTCCTCTTCTCCGTGCTGGTGTTTGTGGTTGTGAGGCTGTGCAGGAGGCGCAGAGCGGCGCCTCTGGGTGTCTGCTCTATGCCTGAGGGCCACTTTCCTGGACACCTGGTGGACGTCAGCGGCACTGGGACACTGTCCCAGAGCTACCAGTATGAGGTATGTCTGGCTGGAGACTCTGGAACTGGCGACTTCAAGTTCCTGAAGCCCATATTCCCCAACCTCTAGGTTCCGGAGGCTGGGAGAGACGTTAAGGAGAATGCCAACTGCAGAAGTAGCTTTGTATTCAGCTAATTGTTGTAATTGTTTTCACAAATTTTGGCGAACTTGCTATTGCAACTTCTTTCTCTTAAATAATTCTATTGATGTTAAAGCACTCATAACCACTGTTCCATTCCTATGCACATTCCGGATAGCTCTAAGTTTCTTCCTTTAATGGCATTACTCATAGCATTTATAATCATATCAAATATGTATTTTCTCCATATTTAATCTTCTCTTTGTGTTCAGCTTTTAATAAATGTAAATTAAACAAGTAAAAACTTCTTATTTTAGTGAACTTAATGAATTTCATGACCCATTTAAAGGTTTGTATGAAATCTTGAATTTTCATGTATTTGTGGCACCCATTGTTAACATATAAGTTTATCTTCCAATACCAGAGTGTTGGCCTTGAACTAAATTTATGATTGGCTATATGTACTACTAGGTTAAGTCCACTGATCAGCCAAGAGCGTAAAATCTAGTCTACTTGTTTTTCTCAAGTTGTATGTTAACTTTTCACTTAATGAATGTATTCATATACAAAAGTGTGGCCTTTTTCTTGTTGTGAACATCTCATATGCAAGACATTGATATTTTACTTGGTTAGGACTTACCTAAAATATTGTTTAAGTGTTCCATAAATATGAAGATTTAAATTTTTTTTWAAAAATCTCATTTAAGATAAACTAAAGGGAGACTATCATATAATTTGTCATCCTCCTTTATTAAATAAAACTGTTAAATCACTGCTTCACATAATCATATTCAAAGATTAATCTCAGAGCCTGAATTATATCCTAAATACCTCCAATAAATTCAGAACTCTTGAGGTCCTCATATATCTCCTTGTCCTTTTGCTCTATAGTAGATGATCAAGTGTAATTTACTGTGTATATCCTTTGGTCTATCTGCAGCTTCTGCCCCCTTTTCAATAATCCAGAAACATCTTCTGCATTTTGGGAATTCTGTTTTGTCCTTACTGGCTGATCAAAGATTTTGCACTTTGTAGATGTGAACAGTTTTTACCAACATCTTAATGACTTCTTTTGATGTTTAATTCTTCAGTTTTGTTCTTTAATGTTATTTAAATTTTTCAATGACATCAAAGTTGCATTTGTATGAAGTATTTTGTCCTGAGTAGCTTTAACAGTAATGAATTCATTTGAATTATAATAGTTCTCAATTATGTTCAATAACCCTAGTGAGTTGATTGTGTGATTCCTAACTAGTTAAATTTATATTAATAGAAGACAACTTCCTTGAACTTCTGGCATAATACAAGAAGTTTAAAGGCTTATTTTATAATCTGATATTTTTAAGTCTCAAGTATTATTTTAGTGGAGATTAAGTATCTGTGCTTTTTCTGAATTACTATTTTTTTCTGATGATATAATAAAAAGGGAAATTACTGACATTTAAGTCATTTTTGAAACAAAGTTTTTAGCCACCATTCAATTGAAAAATTGAAATGAGGCAGAGATAAAATGAGAACAGAATTAAACATGAACTTTAATACAAGTCATAAATATGGTGGTTAAATTTAATGATTTCTCCTTTATTTATTATCATCTATTTAAAAGAATACCTTTTATGTGTGACAAAAAAATAAGTCTGGTTGAAGTTTCAAKTTCACAAAAAAATTCCAGTTCACTTTTCAGAAGTCTAATTTGTATAATCCCACCAGGAGACTGGACAAATGATCATCCAGAACTCATTTCGTTCCTGCCTATATTCACAAAGTTTGGATCATTTGGGATACCATCAGAATGTAGAAAAGATCAACATTTTGAAATTCAGTTGCTAGGATTTAGTAGTGGACATGATCCAAATCATATTCACAATCATATGAAAATATATCAATTTTACTGTTATTGAACCAAGATAGAGAATGGAGGTGAATATCTTGATAATTACACCCATTTCAGTATGTTTTTTTTTCAAATGCTTCTACTACAAAAGCATATTTTATAATTCCTTTGCTGTACTTGTTAGGCTTTTGTCTTTAGTGAGTTTGACAAGGGTTATTATGAGGTAAGAAATTCTACTGAAGTCAATGTTACCCGTATCATTTTAAAATTCCCTCTTATGATAAAAAGTAAAAAAAAAAAAAACTTTTAAAGTATGAGGTTAAAACATGCATGAATTTACTGGGATTCTGTTTCCAAGTTAGATGTATTATCAGGAAGCATAAAACATCCATTAAAACTGGTTATAAGTAAAATAGCAATAGAAAACATGTGATTTAATAAGACCTGAATGGGCTAAGATTTTTGAGAAGGAACATCCCTGTGGAGGAGAACTAAATCCTGCAGTCATTTTTTCCCAAAGAAATTGGGTAAATATGAAAACAAACCACAGCCTTTTGTTAGGAACAGAGTAATTTCAGTAGCCTTTGGAAAACTATAGGATTCAAGCTCAGGACCAGTTCCCCCCTCAGGGCACTGGTCAAACTCAGAGTATCTCAGAGAATACTAAAAACTTAAGTGGAAATTTCTTGAAAAGCAGAGTAAGTTTTTTTCTTGCAATACAAAGATTAGAGTTTGAGATTTCCATAAGAAGGGACCATAGAGGATATACTAAATTCCAACTGAAAGTTCTGTAGGGCTAGATGTTTATCAAGACTTCAAAGAATCTTGATTGAGCCCAGTGCCTGTTTTGATTAAGATAGTCTGTCAACCTACCAGAAGAAAAAGTGAGCTCTTCTGAAATAAATAAATATTATTTTGATTCTGAACAATATTTTACATAAATATTCAAAGTTCAGTAAAAAAATTAGTAGGAACATATGCATGTATATGTACCCATTGAGACACACAAACACACAACTGGATGGTACAGATAAAATAGAGTAAAAACATAACCCTCCAAAAATGCGGGGATGGTCCAGATATTATAATTAATTAATAAACACATTAAAATAAGTATGGCTAATGTGCTAAAAAAATAAGGAACAATAGAGAAAATAGATACAAAGAAAATTTCACTCAACTCAACTACTGAAATTTAAAACTAAATTRTTTAATGTCATTGACATTAAGGAGTATAATATCATGCATGCAGTTAGGCCAATATAAAATATAGAAATAAATATTGAAAATATTGAAAAGAAAGTTAGTGACATGTGGGATATAATGAAAAACTCAAACAWTCATTTTGTAACCTAGGATAAGAAAGAGTAATTGTGGGCAATAAGCAATATTTAARCAGATAATGACAAGATTGATAAAAGTATTTCCCCTTCAAGATACTTAGTAAAACCTAATTAGGATAAATAAAAAAACAAATCACAACTAGGCATATTGTAGAAAAGTTGCTCAAGACAAAGTAAAAAAAAATAAAGCAATCACAGAAAAGGGATCTATTACTTTTAAAGAATGATAATTAAATGGATAGCATTTTAATATAAATCAATGAAACTAATAGGCAACTAAATAATTTTTTAAGGACCTTGAAGAAAATTATTACCAAAAGAACTTTATTACCATAAACATAACTATCAGAAKGGATATTTTAATGCTTTCTAATGCTTTTTTTAGAGAGAGAGAGAGAGAATATTTAATATTTATTTTTTAGTTTTCGGTGGACACAACATCTTTATTTTATTTATATGTGGTGCTGAGGATCAACCCAGCACCCCATGCATGCCAGGAGAGCACACTACTGCTTGAGGCACATCCCCAGCCCCTAATGCTTTTTTTTTTTAACAAAGACTGAAAGGAATTAATCAGTCACATGCTTACTAAAAGAAATACTTTTAGTTGAAATTATTAGGCAAAGGGGAAAGAGTCCTAAAGGGATCACAGAACTGCAGAAAGAAATAAAAAAAGACAGGAAGGGTAAATATAAATGACCATTGATCTAATGTTGATTATACTAGGCAATCATAATAATTTCTTAAGAATTTAAAATAATATCACATTTAAATTCATAATAGCAAAAATATCAAGGTACATGAATAGAGTTAGAGATTTCTAAGGTTCCAAGAATTATTTCATGAAAGTAGAAAYAATTTGTGGTAGATTCTTGTAGAAAACAGTTGTATCCTGTAATAAAGAACAACCAAAAAGTAACTGAAAGTAAATAAAGAACAACAAGTATTTCAATAATCTAAAAGAAGGGGGCTGGGATTGTGACTCAGCGGTAGAGCGCTTGTCTAGTATAAGCAGGACCCAGGGTTCGATCCTCAGCACCACATAAAAATAAAGGCATTGTATTGTGTCCATCTACACCTAAAAAAATATTTTTAAAAAATAACCTAAAAGAAGAACAAAATCTTAAGCGCAAATGGAAAAATAATTAGATTTATGTGTGGATTGAAATATTAGATAATACATTAATTATAATTGGATTAAGTAATTCAACTTAACAATGAAAATATTCTTACTACATTTAAGAAAAACTCAAATATATGCTGTCAAATATATGTATGTGAGAGACAAGGAGAGAAAGCAAAGATTGAAATTAAAAATGGGATGATGTGTTTAGTACAATAGCCAAAATAATGTACTATATTCACATAAGACAAAGKAGATTTTAAGGATATATTCATTGTTATTGATAAAGACAGCTGTTTCATAATAATAAAAAAGCCAAAAAATACTAGAAATATGTSGGGTTCAAGACTGAATATTTCTCTATAGGCTACTACTAAAATATAAAAAGTGAAGATGGCAGAATACAAATACAAAATAGACAAATCACAGTCATATTGGGAGACTTCACATAACCCTGTCCATTCCTAACAGAATAAGGAGACCAAACACACACAAACATGAACATTGAAGTGCTGAACAACACATACATCATATTCAAATACACTGACATAATTAWAAAACTATCAATATTCCAGATCATAAAACAAGCCTCATTTTTAATAAAAGGAATTAAAATGATTTAGCATGCATTTTGACTGCAGCAGAATTAAAATATGACAAGATATCCCAGAATGTTTCAAAATTAAATGACAAAACTCATGAGTCAAAGAAGAAATCACAACAGAAATTTCCAAATAGATTGAAAATATCAAGAACTGACATATCAAAACACAACTTGGAAATGTAAAGCCTTAAATGCACATATTAGAAAAGAAAGATTAAAAATCAATAATGGAATATTTGATCTCAAGAATCTAGAAAAAGAAAAGCAACTCATAAATGAATAATGCCGGTAATTACACATACAAAATACACAACCAGAAATGAATAAAATAGACGACAAAGATTGAACAGAGCAAATTGGTAAACCTGAAAGTATATCCTTCATAATTATTAGCAAAATTAAAACTTTTTAGATTAATCAAGTAAACCAACAAAAATACCAATTACCATTGTTAGGAGTAAAAAAAGAAACATCACTATCAATCCTACAGGCATTTTAAAAATAAAAAATAGATCTTGTGAACAATTTTCTGCCAACGTTGTGTATCTATGTACCCTGTGATCATTTTTTTCTGTGACTCTAAATTTTTTCTTTAAAATAGYCTATTGTTTTAAAAGTGGAAGCCTTAATTTTTAATAAAGAAACTCATAACAAAGCTATWTTAACTATGGCAGTATGGTATTGCAGGATAAACAGAAAAATTAAATACTTGAGAAGACCTAAAATCACCCGACTTATGATAGTAATAAGGCTTCTGAAACAATGGGGAATGGATTATCTTTTCAACAGATGGTATAAAGGCATATGGAAAACTTTTGAGACTAACTAGATTCATTTGAAAAAAATAGTTTGATTACAGTTTAGATAGGGAAAAGTATAGTAATAAATATTTCAAAATATACCTTTGTGTATATGAAGATATAAATAGAACAGAAAGATGCAAACCAAAAGTGATAACTATGTGTAAATCAAACTAAATTAAGGAAGCTTTTGATCAAAGACACTATAATAGAAATTAAAATACAAAACACAGATAAAGAGGAAATATTTGTAATATATTTAAAGGATCTATTACCAGAATATAAAAAAATACTTCTACAAACCCAAAAAGCAAACATGCTAATGCCCCAATAACAAAAATGACATAAGACTTGAACAAGTACTCCAAAAGAATGTGTCCAAATGGTGAATAAACATGTGAAATGTAAATAATTTTGTTAATCACCAGGAAAATACAAATCAGAATTATAAAATGATATCACCATACACTCAATAGAGTAGTTAGAACTGAAATGACAACATCAAATGTTGACAAGAATATGGAGCAACTGGAACTCTCATACTTTATTGGTACTGAAASCAGTACTTTTGAGAAATGTTTTACAGTATTTGCTAAAATTAAATATATATGTACATATATATACTAAATGTATTGCAGTATTTGCTAAAACTGTGGGGGGTTGCTAAAGCAGTCTGCCTTGTTCAAATCTGTCCAGAAGTTGCAGTTCCTTCAACTCGGTATACAGTCCACTCAGACAATTTGGTTAAATAATCTTATGATAAATATTTCTATCTGACATGCACTTAGAACGATGCCTTGTCTGAAGATCTGTCTTCCAGAGCTCGCTTAAAATGCCTCATTCTTTGGGGGAGCTCTCAGAATTGTGATTCCCAGAACTAAACATATATATATATATATATATATATATATATATATATATATATATATATATATATATATATATATATATTCCCAGAACTAAATATATATATAATATATTACAGTATTTGCTAAAACTAAATACACATGTATATGTATATATATATGTATATATGTATACATATGCATAGCAAAATGATTAATCTAAATATATTCAGTTAAAAACAGACATGGTCACCAAAAGGTAAGTTCAGGAAGGTTTGTAACAATACTACTTTAAAAAAGGGGATGCTCAACTGGAAAAACACGAATGATTGTGAACTGGAGAATGCATAAACAAATCATGATATGTTCTTGCATAAAACTAATAGAAAGCAATGAGAATAAAACACATCAGAATGACATGCCAGCTATAATTTTTATGAACATAATGTTGAAGGAAAGAAGACAGAAATAAGAGAGTAATACTGTATAACTCCATATGCCTCAAAGTACAAAAAGAAAAAAAAAACTGTGAAAGTAGAATTCAGGAAAGAGCTTAGGTTTTGGGGAAAATTTAGTATAGACTCAGACTTCCTATATTTGGGCAGCACTCTATTTTTAATCTACATTCTATTTATGTGAGTGGAACTACCTCCAATCTTGATGTAATCAAATTACAAACCAACAAAGAGAGTTCCTTTTGTATGCAAAAGGTACTTTTATGGAGAAGATTAAAATCATTTCATTTATTTATTTATTTATTTATTTATTTATTTATTTATTTTTGGTAAAAGAGATTGACCAAGGGGCACTTAATCACTGAGCGAGATCCCCAGCCCATTTTATTTATTTATTTATTTTWATTTTGAGACACAGTCTCCCTACCTTGCCTAGCCTAGCTTTGATTATGAAATGATCCTGCTTCAGACTCCCAAATCCCAGGAACTACAGGCATGCATTAGTTAAACAAGTATTTTTCCACTGAAAATTCACTCAGCAAAGGTTTACTTATAACTTCTAATAACTTGGAGATACAATTAAGGGTGCTTTTGTGATTAAAAGGGTATTGATACACAGCAGGTTTAGAATTTGGAATGAAATGGCAAATATTATATGCAATAGTAAATAAAGACACCTGGTGGCGCTGCAGGATAAGCAAGTGAATAATGGGCTCTAGATGCCAGGGACGCCATTGAGCTGGGAATCAGARCTCAGAGAGCTCCCCCAAAGAAGGAGGCATTTTAAGCGAGCTCCGGAAGACAGATCTTCAGACAAGGCACCTTTCTAAGTGCATGTCAGACAGAAATAKTTAACTCAAGATTATTTAACCAAATCGTCTGAGTGGACTGTATACCGAGTTGAAGGAACTGCACCTTCTGGACGGATTTGAACAATGCAGACTGCTCTAGCAAAATCCCCGCAGAAAAGGCAAGTCATTTTTCTTGCTATGCTGTTGTTTTTGTGGGAGGTTGATTCTGAGGCAATTAGATATTCCATTCCAGAAGAAACAGAAAGTGGCTACTCTGTGGCCAACCTGGCAAAAGATCTGGGGCTCAGGGTGGGGGAACTGGCCACTCGGGGTGCGAGAATCCATCACAAAGGCAGCAAACAGCTCTTACAGCTCGATGTAAAAACCGGCAATTTGCTTCTACAGGAAAAACTAGACAGAGAGGTGCTGTGTGGGGCTACAGAACCCTGCATTTTGCATTTCCAGCTGTTACTCAAAAACCCGATGCAGTTGTTTCAAATTGATGTGCAACTCACAGATGTAAATGACCATTCTCCAGAGTTCCTAGACAGGGAAATGTTCCTTAGAATCCCAGAGAGTGCCCAGCCAGGGACTGTGTTTCCTTTGAAATCAGCTCAGGACTTGGACATGGGTAGCAACAGTGTTCAGAACTACACAATCAGCCCCAATTCCAATTTTCGTGTTGCTACTCACAATCGTGGAGATGGCAGAAAATACCCAGAGCTGGTGTTGGACAAAGCTCTGGACCGGGAGGAAGAGTCTGAGCTCAGTTTAACCCTCACAGCGCTGGATGGTGGGATGCCACCCAGGTCTGGGACTGTCACAGTACACATTGAAGTAGTAGATATGAATGATAATGCCCCGGAATTTTTACAATCCCTGTATGAAGTACAGGTTCCTGAGAACAGTCCCATAAACTCGTTAGTTCTCATTGTATCTGCTCGAGATTTAGATTCAGGAAATTATGGTAGTGTTGCCTACTCCTTATTTGAAGGTGATGAAGTTTCTCAACCATTTGTAATAGACAAAYTARCAGGAGAAATTAGTCTGCAAAGGGCATTGGATTTTGAGGCAACCCAACATTATATCATAGAAATTGCAGCCACAGATGGAGGAGGCCTTTCAGGAGAATGCACTGTGGCCATAGAAGTGGTGGATGTGAATGACAATGCTCCTGAACTAACCATGTCGACACTCAGCAGCTCTATACCAGAAAACTCCCCAGAGACTGTAGTTGCTATTTTCAGCGTTTCTGATCCAGACTCTGGGGACAATGGTAGGATGGTTTGCTCCATAGAAAACAATCTCCCCTTCCTCTTGAAGCCCACATTTAAGAACTTTTATACCTTGGTGACAGAGAAGCCACTGGACAGAGAGAGCAGAGCAGAGTACAACATCACCATCACCATCACTGACTTGGGGACACCCAGGTTGAAAACTGAACACAGCATAAGGATCCTCGTCTCTGATGTCAATGACAATGCCCCTGCCTTCTTCCAAATTTCATACACGCTGTTGGTGCGCGAGAACAACCAGCCAGCCCTGCACATGGGCAGTGTCAGCGCCACAGACAGAGACTCAGGCACCAATGCCCAGATCACCTACTCGCTGCTGCCAACCCAGGACCCGCACCTGCCTCTTGCCCGGCTGGTCTCCATCAACGCAGACAATGGGCAGCTGTTCGCGCTGAGGGCGCTGGACTTCGAGACCCTGCAGGCATTCGAGTTCCACGTGGTCGCCACAGATCAAGGCTCACCCGCGCTCAGCAGCCAGGCGCTGGTGCGAGTGGTGGTGCTGGATAACAATGACAACTCGCCCTTCGTGCTGTATCCAATGCAGAACGCCTCTGCGCCCTGCACCGAGCTGGTGCCCAGAGCGGCAGAGCAGGGCTACCTGGTCACCAAGGTGGTGGCGGTGGATGGAGACTCGGGCCAGAACGCCTGGCTGTCATACCAGCTGCTCAAGGCCACGGAGCCAGGGCTGTTTGGCGTGTGGGCGCACAATGGCGAGGTGCGCACCRCCAGGCTGYTGAGYGAGCGCGAYGCRGCCAGGCACAGGCTGGTGGTGCTGGTCAAGGACAATGGCGAGCCTCCGCTGTCTGCCAGCGTCACGCTGCACGTGCTGCTGGTGGATGGCTTCTCCCAGCCCTACCTGCCGCTTCCGGAAGTGGCGCCCGAGCGCACGCAGGGGGACTTGCTCACTGTCTATTTGGTCATCGCCTTGGCCTCTGTGTCATCTCTCTTCCTCTTCTCTGTGCTGGTGTTCGTGGCAGTGAGGCTGTGTAGGAGGCGCAGGGCTGCGCCTCTGGGTGTCTGCTCTGCTCCTGAGGGCGAACTTTCTGGCCACCTGGTGGATGTCCGTGGCACTGGGACACTGTCGCAGAGCTTCCAGTATGAAGTGTGTCTCTCTGGAGGCTCAGGAACAAATGAGTTCAAATTCCTTAAACCGATATTCCCCAAATTGCCGCCTCAGGGGCCTGATGAAGATACAGTAGAAAATGCTACTTTAGGGAATATCCTTCGATTCCCATAGAGATTTAATTATGGGTCGGTTTTTGTCATTTTATTCTAACTCATCTAGATACAGAAATTGAATTTGTTACAGAGAATAACTTACTTTTGGAGATATTTTTCATTTTCCTATTGTAATGAATTTGCCCATTTAACTTTATCCTAATTTGGAGAATTACTTTATTGCACTCATTTATATATTGTTATTCCAAACCTATGCATATTGCTTTTCCTGAGATTTGTTCTTCTTTTTGATTTTTGTTGTGATGTATATATGCATTTTTGTTACATCTATATACCTGGCTAGAATTGTTGCTCATTTAGTAAATAGTCATACACTTTTTAGTAGAAATTTCAAAATGATTTCCCAGAGTAGTTGTACCAGTTTACAGTACTGTTCGCAGTGTCTAGATATACAGATTCCTTCACATTCTTGCCCAAACCTGATATTGCCTGTTTCTTTTATAGTTTTGTCTCTTTTGGTAAGCACTTTAAAACCTTTTTATGTAAGTATCACTAAGGAATATATTTGTAACTGTTAAGGGTTGAATAGTGCTCCCCCAGATTCAAATACTGAAGCCCTAACCCCCACTACCTTAGAACTGGACTGAATTTAAAGATGGAGCATTTAAAGTTGTTATTACATTAAAAGGGAGTGGTTTGTATCTGCTCCAAGTCAATATCATTGATGTGTTTCATAAGATTAGCCCATAAGGAAGTGGAGTGGGGTGGGGATCATACACAGGCTCACAGAGATGTTCCTGTGAAGATTCCTGAAGATGCAGTCATCTACTAGGCAAGGAGAGAGGGAAATCAGAATGTCAACTCCTTAGACCTCTAGCCTCCAGAATTGGGAAGAAATGAATTCCTTTTTTTTTTTATCCTCCCATTTTGTGGTATTTGCAGCTCTAGTAAACTCATACATTTTTAGACAATCTTCTTAAATTATTGCTGAGTAGCTAGTACACTTACATTACAGCAGTGGAGCCAGGCACAATGGTACATGTGTATAATCCAAGCTATTTGGGGGGCTGGGGTAGGAAGAAGGCTGAAGGAGAAGGATTGCATGTTTGAGGCCACACAAAGCAACTTAGTGATATCCTGCCTCAAAGTAAAATTAAAAAAGGGTTGGAGATATAGGTCAGTGGTAGAGCACCACTGGCATCCCCAGAACTATAAAACAACAACAAAAGAAAACACATCAACTTCAACTGTCTATTCTTCACATATAACTYTGTCACTATTTTTGAGTACGCCTCTGGTCCAACAGAAACTTTCATCTACTTTTTCATTAATGGCCATTAAGTTTGTTTTTCTTTATGAATGAAATGAACACTATTCTTATTCTTCCTTTTGTATCTGTTTCTTCTGGCAGTTTTCAACTTTCCTCAGTTGGACCTCTCTTTACAATAATCAAATATGAAATTTTTACATCCATATATGTTTCTTTACATTGTCATTACAACCATATCTAAGAATTCCTTTTCATTGCTATAGATAGGTTTTAGAGCCTGAAAATATATGTTAAAATATACCTGTAAAGACAATATAGATTATAAATGTCCTGCAATCAAAGATCACTGGGAACACTATAAAAGCAAAGTTGGATTTACTGATTATTTGCATTGAGGGAGACTGCACACAATAAGAAGCCCTGAGTCACCATAGTAAAAGGGTTACTTTCTTATTCCTTACAAAGGAGTTCTAGGATTTGGGTTTGTGATAGGAAATTTGGGGGAGGGTTTAAGTATGGGTTAGATTGGATTGGATGCTTTAAGATTGGATCTTAAAGTATCTGGATTGGATGCTTTAAGAAAATGGAATGATTCTACAATTATGTATAGAATTTTATTAAGGAAGTGAGGAGAACAAAGTGAAATGAAAGTATAATTGGTGAAGAAGCAGCATTCACTCACATTTGCAAGGAAGTGGGGGTCTTTGGGCATTGTTTTGGTTTGAATAATATTCTTATTTTGGTCTCTGCTCAACCATGAAGTAATTTTATTTTGATCTCGCTCAATCAGAATCACCAAGGTCTTTTCGGATGCTGGTGTTGGGTAAGATTGTTCATGTTCAATAAGAGATCTTGACCTACCTTAGAGGATCAGGACAGTTTCTGGTTATTAGTTGCTGATTCTTTCTCAAAATATTGTTCATTATTCATCCACAGTACTTGGAGTAAGGACTTTCATTCCTTCTCCTTGGATCTACAGTTGTGCTTTCTGTGCCATTGAAAACAGAGTGTTCCTAAAATCAAGATCGATTCACCATTTAAACTCCATGAGTTGACATTACCCCATCTTTGCAGTTTATCAAAATATCAGTCATGAATTCAACTTCCTGTATTTCCTCTTTTTGTTTTCCTGGAAACTACCGATACTCTACTAATTTATTGATTTAAAAAAATTGAATCTCACACATTTTAAAGGCCCTTTTACATAAAGCAAACTTCTAATTGATAGATTTGGAGATCACTCTGAATCGGACATACTATTGTTGCAACCCATTTCATACCACTGCCTTGACATGGATTTGATACCCTCCCTCAAAATAATCTTGTAAAAAATTGCTTTCAAGCCCCTTTGAAATTGCAATAGTTCAGCAAAACCACAAATAAACAATTGCCTGTTGAGCTATTATTTCAAATATAGACTGAAAAGCCAACAGGCATTTTTGGGTGCATTTAAAAAAAACATAAGTTGAAATATCAAATCTACACAGCACTGTTCCCTCACAGAAGGCAAGAAACTGCCCATGCATCATGTCAGAGACTGTGAAAGTGGGCCTCCTTCAACGTGTGGCTGATGTGGAAGCAAGKGCTTTGGTACAGTGCAGACTGCTCTGGAAGGGCTGAGGGGTGTTGGGGCTACATTTGGAGATGATCTGGCTTAAGCCACTCTCTGGCCGGCTGCCCTGTCTGGGCTGTTGATGCTGCTGCTCCCACCACTGTCACTGCTTCAGGACTCTGTGTCCCAGGAATCCTGAAAGACAAGGTTTCAGCTACTCCTTTTGGGTGGTGGTAGTGGGGGAGATAGTTACCTTCTTCACTGTCATTCCTTCTCCTTTTCCTGGGGCAGAGGTGCTCCCTCATGGTAGCTGGTGAAGGGGATTGACAGGAAGATCCCACAGAGGAGATCATGCTGCATCAGTCACCATGGCCCCCTGGAGCCTTGGCTCCAGCCGCTGCTGGTGGATGCTGTGGGCCATGAGKCCCCCTCAGGTGATGAGTGGGCACCCCTCAGTCGGACAGTACCACTGTTACTTCCAGCGAATGCTCTGCCCCCACCCCCCCCCCACCCCCGACCCCATGGAGCCCACTATCTTTTTGCTTCCATTAGAATTAAAAGGTTTCTTAAAAGTCAGTATGGAACTGCCACCTTGTCTTCACTCTCTCCTAGYTGATTTCATTGTGTGATAGGATCCTTATTCCCTTTTTTCCTTTTTCATTCCCTCCCTTTGCTACAGTACAACCTCAAATGTTATCCTAAAAGAGTATGTACAGAAAAATCTGTGTCTTTTTGTGCCTGAAAATATATTTAGTTTTTCCTCATGCTTGATTGATGATTCCACAAGATAAAGAATTCTTGCTCTGAAATTTAAAATCATTTATCTATTGATTTCTTTTTCTTTTGGGTTTTCTGACTTTACTTTTTTATTAATTTTTAAAATTTGTTCTAGGGCCAGAGTTGTGGCTCAGTATGTGTGAGGCACTGGGTTCCATCCCCGGCACCACATAAAAATAAAAACAAATAAAATAAAGGTTATTATGTCCACCTACAATTAAAAAAATTTTAAAAAATTTTTTGTTCTAATTAGTTACACATGACAGAATGCATTTATGCACTTTGATATATTGTACATAAATGGAGTATAATTTTCATTTTTCTTATTTTACATGTTGTAGAATCACATGGTTATTCAGTCATATATGTACATAAGGTAATAATGTCTGTTTCATTCTACTCTCCTTCCTACCCCCAAACCACCTCCCCTCCCTTTCCTCTACCTAAAGTAACTCTATTCTTCCCTAGCCCCAGTTAGCCTTTGGCTTTTGGGGATATGCTTATTTTGCTTAGCATGATATTCTTCAATTCCATCTATTTACTGACAAATTCCATACTTTCTTTCTTCTTTAAAGATGAATATTATTCCATTGTGTTTTTCTGTGTGTGTGTGTGTGTGTGTGTATAACATTTTTTATCCATTCATCTGTTGAAGGACACCTAGATTGGTTCCATGGTTTAGCTATTGTGAGTTGAGCTCCTATAAACATTGATGTGGTTGCAGCACTGAAATATGCTCATTTTAAGTCCTTTGGGTATAAACCAAGGAGTGGAATAGCTGGGTCAAATAGTGGTTCCATTCCAAGTTTTCTGAGGCCTCTCATATCACTTTACATGATGATTGCACCAATTTGCATTCCCACCAGCAAGGTAATAGAACAGAGACCCTGTGCCAAATAGAAGACAAAGTAGGCCAAAATCTTCACCATGTCATTCTAGGATATGACTTCCTTTTTAAAAAAAACCCAAAAGTGCAAGAAGTAAAAGCAAGAATCAATAAATGGGATAGATTCAAACTAAAAAACTTCTTATCAGCAAAAGAAACAATCAATATTGTGAAGAGAGACCCTACAGATTGGGATAAAATCTTTTACCACGTTCACCTCAGATAAAGCATTGATCTCTAGGTTATATAAAGAACTCAAAAAAACTTAACACCAAAAAGAAATCAATAAATGGGCTAAGAAACTGAACAGACACTTCACAGAAGAAAAAATACAGCTGATCCACAAATATAAGTAAAAATGTTCAACATCTTTAGCAATTAGAGAAATGAAAATCAAAAAGACTCTAAGATTTCATCTCACTCCAGTAAGAATGTCACTTATCAAGAGCACAAGCAACAGTAAATGTTGGCAAAGATGTGAGGAAAATGGTACACTCATATCTATTAATTATTAATCCATATTTTTAAATGTTATCAAATCTTATTCTTAATACTTCTTACCCTCCCTCTTCT